TAACAGCATATACAATATTGCTCTGTTTGTGCCGGGGCACCAGATCTTTGGGGTGAACCAGCCTTTGCCGTACTGGGACATCATGTTTAGAAAATAAACGTCTCAGTTTCTCCGAAACACCCGCAACATACGGAATAACCACTGGTTTGGGTCTGGGTTTGGGGTCTTCATTTTCACCTGAAGGTTGCATGGAATCCTGTCTGTGTTTTAGATGTTTTAGATATGTTAAAGTGGGGTTTTGATCACATCTTACCTGTTGTAGCTCTTTGAAAAGACTCCATTTAGAGAAACAGCCTGGGGAGATGGAAAAAGAAGACAATAATTTGAATGTCTTGGAGCTGCAGCAGATATTTCACAGCCTGTTTGGGAACATCTTGGTGTTGCCATGAAGCACTATTGGAGATTAGACCAGTTCAACTGATTTTCCAATTTGTGCTCTCACCTGTTTGGGATGGCTCGACTACACAATCACTCATCTCTAAGAACTACAGGACAAACGATTTTTCAGCGGAAATTTATTCGATTCTCATCTCTAAACCAAGAAGAGAAATGAGACTCAATAGGAGGGTACAAAAACAAATACTTATAGAAAAGTAAGCTTATAATAATGAAACGTGTCCAAAGACATAACAAAAACACGCAGTTCAAGTGTTTTTTTAAAGAGCTTGTTGAGTACAATGATAAAATACCAAGTTAGCATATTGTACATTTTGGGCTTTTTATACAAAAGTGTCGATGCAAGTCACTCTGTACAGTTTTTAACTTTTAGGGGAAAAAATGAGCTTTTTTTTAATCCACTGCTGTGCACAATCAGTACTTGGAAGGCACTTTGCAACAGACCAAAAAAACAGAAAGCTAAAACATTTAGGCCTTAAAAATCTGAATAAACAAAAAGGTTTTCTATCATTTTGTTACAGAATATCCCACGTGTCTTCAAAGTGTAGAAAAAAAACTTTTAAATGAGCAAACACGAGTGCAGAGATCGAAAAAAAAAAACCTGGTCAAAGAGTCGAGCAGCTGGCAGTGTGAGCGTCACCACAGCAGAGTGGTCGCACAGCAAGAAAAATGTTTCCCGTCACCAACCAGTGATCGACATTCAGTCCCCAGCTCAGCCTGCATGCCAGAACGTGCACTTTACACTTCAGATGGCCTTAACCCAACATAAGACAGGACCAAAAAAAACTTTATGTACAAGACTCGCTACTGACAAACACTTAGCAAATAGGTTGGTTCATATTTATTTATATATTTAGATAAAGTGTGTGTATATATGGTTGGTATATACACTTGTTACAATCACAATATAGCCATAAATAATATAGGAATGTAGTAAAATACAGAAACCAACCAGAATACACCCAATGTCTTTGTCATCCTACACACACACATACACACCCCTTCACTGACTCTGAACCTGATTTGCATCATGATACATGATTTACAGAAACAAAACAAAAATAATTTATGAATAATGTTGATGTATAAACAGTTGGTTCATGAGATGCTAAATAATTAAGTGTATTTCTGTGCTCGCAAACCATATTGGTACGTTATATTCCCTTTTAAATATCTACATGAAATCATGGGTTTTTTAGATGATTACCAGTCAGGGAGAAAAAATAAAAAAAAAAGAGTGGCATTTCAAAGATCTTTATTAAATAACGGCAATTTATCCAAGAATTAGGAAGCCGCTTCCTTGCTGTAAATATAATTAAATAGACTTATTTTTTTTGTTAAACTTGTCAAATAAATTTGAGATCATATTGAATTCTATAAGACGTTAAAGTTGCTGAAAATAAATCAGATAAGTTGTAAATGTGATGCTGAGTAATGATTTTAATAAACTGTTCACAGGAATGCCTTGGAATAAAAATATCACTAACTTCCACTGTAACAAAGTGACAACTAGTTAAAAAGAAACTCATGACAACACAAAACAATAAGAGACTGAAAAGCAATTAAAATAAAAAAGGTCCAAATGATTGAAATAAAAAGTTGACTACATCACAGTAAGTTGACAGTAAAAGCTGTTTTTATCAGCCATGAATCATTCTGAAAGTCTCTCCTGTTTCACAACAAAAAAAAA